GTGGGATGGTAGGTATTCAGAACAGGGGATCCATTATACTCTTCCACTTTCATGTGTATTTTGAACATTTTATTGTTGAAATTTGTTTTTAAAGCAACAGCAGGTAAGCACTTAGATCCTGTCTCCCTCCTTGCAAAATTAGTTGTCTGTATTCCTTGTGGCATTGCCTAGAAGTATTCCTTATAAAGGGTCTGTGGTGTAACCAGTTACGGAACTCAGATGCCCTACAATGGATAAGTGGGTCAAGAAATGTGCTATATATGGAATTTTGATCATCCATCAGGAAGGACAGTACTATCTCATTTGTGGGGAAATAGATGGACTTGGAAAAAGTTAAGTGAAATAAGCTAGGCTCAGAGACACAAAAGGGCACATGTTTTCTCTCATGTGTTGAAAATAGATTTAAATTATGAACACATTTAAAAACAGATACAAGGCCATATGCACAGATATACATGTTATATACAAGGGGAAGCTTCCAATGATGTAACAGCAATTAACATAGTTTAACAAAATAAACAACAAGAAACTGAAATATGTTGAGGAGTGGGTCAGACAAATGGAGAGGAAGGATGGGCAAATCCAGTTATAATAGTCAATGTCACCAGGCATTAGTGGCTTGTGCCTATAATCCTAGCTACTCAGGAGGCTGAGATTTGAGGATCGCCATTCAAAGCCAACCTGTCCAGGAAAGTCTGTGAGACTCTATCTCCAATTAACCAAAAGGCTGGAAGTGGAGCTCATGTGGTAGAACACTAGCCTGGAGTTCAAAAGCTAAGGGAAAGCACGCAGGCAAACACATGTACGCAAATATATATACACAATGTACAGACATGAAAAGGGAACCAGATAACTTGAGGAGATGGGTGGGACTGCAATGATGAGGCAAAATGATAGAAGGGATGACACTGACCAAGATAAGCAGACATAAGCAGACATGTTGAATTATACAACTAAAGATAACAAAATAAATAAAAAATAAAGGTTCTATGGGTTGGAAAAGAGCAGGTAGAGCTGACAAGCAAGATCCAGCACCCTCACTGCATGGCTTAATTGTGGGCTCATAAAAATGGCCATACAAGCTTGTGTCTTGCAAAAGAATCTACAAAGAAGAAAAAGTATGGTTGGCCTGTGAACTTAAAATTCTTTGTTTTAGCATGAAAAACTTGTACAGATGTATAGGGAAGTAAAAAGAATTACCAAAATACTATTTACACTTATAAAAAAGATACTGGAACTATTGGCAGTTTCTGGATCTGCTTCTAGCATTTTACCCTTTGGATTTTCAGTGTTGAGAAATAGCTCCAAAGTTCTTAAGTCAAGTTTGGGCCAGTATCACTTCCTCTGGGACATCTGCATTCTTTCATAACAACCCCTTCTCTCCTTTTTGTTAATAAGCTTACCTTCATTAAATTCCTCTGTCTGCCTATCTAGAATCTCTCCAACAATAGAACTCAATTTACATGCTATATTGCTTTCAATTTCTCCCCAGCCTCTGCCAAAGAATTTGCAAGATTCCTGGATATAACCTAAACAGCCTGTCTAAAAGTCCATTTTCACTCAAGCCCCCAGGAAAACCCACATACCCCAACAGCAGTCTAAAAGCTGAATGCCCTTATTGTTGGAAATTAGGTGACAACACAACCTAAAGCTTTGCTGAGTGAAATGAGTAACAGATACACAGAGGCCAATCACCAACAAACTTCAAAAAATTGCTCTTTTCTTTATGTCTTTGTGGACTAAAGAGCTAGTATTTAAGTTGACCCTATGAAATTACTCAGAATAGTAACTGAAATGTGAATCGTGTTGTTGGGGACAAGGTATTATTTGCCATGGCAACTGAAATCCATACACATCACAGCCACATAAAGCAAAAAAGGCCTATACTGAAAACAGGGAAGTTAAAAGAGCTGATGACTACTTCCCCTGCTATACCCCAAAACTTTTACCCTTCTGAGTCTTCTCTACAGTTTTAAAGGAAGCATTCAACCAGGTCATCTGTTACTGTTTCTCAAGCTCAGCAGTGCTATAGGCATCTCCCAATTATACCAAAAAAATGTCTTTACTGCCATATCTGGAGTGAATAATCACCCTTGGTTAAGAACCATTGCCTTAAGACAAAGGGTCTTCAGCCTCACAGGTGTCACCCAACACATTAGGTCAATAAAATGAAGGATTAAGGAGTAATACAAACATATTTACAGTGGCAAATACCAAAAGAAACAGAAGTGACTACCTCAGGAAAGAGAGCAGCAATAAAGAACTATTTAAGTTTAAAAAAAAAAAGTGATAATGAACTACCTGATTTTTAGGACAGGGCTCAAGTGATAGTGTCCTGCCCAGAAAACTCAAAGCCCTGAATTCAAACCCTACGACTGCCAAAAACAAAACAAAAAACCCTGACTTTAAAAGTCAAACCTCTAAAGATAAGGCCAAGCTTTGATCACAGGTATTCCTAGATACGGAAATTAAAACTCTTGATCCCTTTCTAGCTCTAGGGGATTCTCTTCCTTAGGTATAGTTCTTTTGTCCTGCAGAACACATGCTGGTATTTCTCAAGTTGAGAAAATAGTGAAGAGGGTTCTTGTCTTTATTATTATTAAAATACCGAGTTTATTTCACATGTGTATTTGGTATCCCCACCATTTCCACATCTAACCATCACTTCTACTATGCCCTATCATAACGTTCCATTCATACTTAAGTCCAAGCAAAGGGTGGAGTTCCTTCCGTCTTTAAAAACAACACAGGCATTTTGGACAACACATTCTTGGCAGTGGAGCCTGAACATTTATCAAATACAGGTAGGGTACCTGCTCTAACTCTAGAGGTTCCTCTTCCTCCAGTGTTGCTGCTCATCCTGCAAAACACTCTCTGATCTAAATAGTTTCTGAGTTAAAAGGAAAATGTAGGGGAGGTTACTGGAAAATCTGGGTTTATGAGGCCCTACCACAGGCGAGGAAGCCAGTACTAGAACTCAAAAGGATCTCCTAGCCTCAAAGCTCAACCCCACCATCCTTTCCCAGTCATAAAGCTATTTTCAGCCAACCCAGAGCATCTCTGTCCATTGACAGAGAATGGACCATTCTCAGGTCCATTTTCTGTTAACATGTAACATTGAGAAAGTACCTAAGTTCTACAGGTCTGTTTCTAATATACAAACTAAAGGGAGGAGCTACCACAAAAGGTCATGAGGACTGAATACATATAAAAAATCTATAATACAATGCCTAATAGTAAATTTTCTGAGAACTCCTCAGGGAGGCCATCAGATTGACAAGATACAGTGGCATGCATCGACTCAGTGAAAACCTCAGGAACAGGTCTTAATGCTAGGGTTGGGGAGGGGGATATTTTTTTTTTTTTTTTTTTTGTCAGTCGTGGGGCTTGAACTCTGGGCCTGGGCGCTGTCCCTCCATCTACCACTTGAGCTACAGCGCCACTTCCGGTTTTCTGGTGGTTTATTGGAGATAGGAGTCTCACGGTCTCTCCTGCCCGGGCTGGCTTTGAACTGTGATCCTCAGATCTCAGCCTCCTGAGTAGCTAGGATTACAGGCGTGAGCCACCAGTGCCCGGCGGGGGGGGGGGGGGGGGTGGTCTTAAAATTATATTTTTATCATTTTATGGTTTTACTTTCTTTAGCTGTTCAAAGGAGTTACCACTCAACAAATCTTAATGCTGGCTTTTTTTTTTTTTTTTGGTCCGGTCATGGGGCCTGAACTCGGCTTGGGCACTGTCCCTCAGCTCTTCAGCTCAAGGCTAGCGCTCTACCACTTGAGCCACAGCACCACTTCCAGCTTTTTTCTGCTTATGTGGTGCTAAGGAAACGAACCCAGGGCCTCAAGCATGCAAGGCAAGCGCTCTACCACTGAGCCACCTTCCCAGCCCTGCTGGCTCTTTTTTAATTCTAGGCCTTAAACTTGTGCAAGCACCCCACCACTTGAGGCAGTGTCAGCCATTTAATCCTTCGGTCATTTTCAAATAGTTTTCAGTTTTTGTAGTCTGGCCTCTGACCATGATACTCCTAACAATGGGTATAGGCCTCCCATAGCTGTGATTATAGGCATGAGCCACTGCACCTGGCCACCTGACATTTTGAAATACATATTAGTTTTTTAAAAAATTTAATATTGTTAAAACAATACATTTTTTGTTCCAGAGATGACGCTCAGAGATCTTAAAGCATAAGACATACATATTTCTAGGATTAAATGCTATGGGAGAAATGGGTTGAAAATACAAATCAAAGCAGCAAAAAGAACAATGTCAGTTTTCAGACTGATAGGGAATATTGTTAATGCATTTGCAAATGACCATGGACAGAAAATTACCTTTAATATGTATGACACTGGAAGCAATTAATGAGTGATTTAACAATTGTGTTTAATGTATTCTAAAAAAATTTAAAAAGAATCTGCCCCACAATTCTCAGGATAGAAATGGTCAACCTAGTATGCAAAGTAATGTTTTGTTTGGACCAGAACTGGAGCTTGAACTCAGGGAATTACCTGGTTTGGCTATTTAGTCTCATGGCTGGTGCTTTACCTCTTGAGCCACAACTCCAGTTACAGCTTTTCACTAGTCCAGCTGGAGATAAGGCTCATAGATTTGTGTGATGGGGATGGTTTCCAACCAAGATTCTCAGATCTCAACCCTCCTGAGTAGCTATGATTACAGGTGTGAGCCATCAGCTGAAATCTGAGAATATTGGCTAAATACATGCTAACATATATCTAGATACATGTTAGCTAAATACATGTTAGCAATATCTAGACTGTGCTATCTAAATGAAAGCACCATATTACCTCAACAATCTTTATGGATTATGTTGTACATATTCTGGGATCATAAGAAATATTAAGTATGTAGTGTGTGGACCCTGAAGTTAGTTCTAGCTCTCACTTGTGAAGATACACATACATTGTTACTAATATTATATAAAGCTAACTGGTTAGAAGCCCAGACAATGAAAATATGAATAAAAACCATGAGAACCAATCTTCTAAAAACTGTAGGCTTTTTATTCAGTTAAGAGGTAGACAGATGAACATGGAAGGCTGTCCCATTTTAATTGCCCCAAATTCATATTCCACTTCAATCACCCAACCCATACTGTCAAAAATCTTAAAAGAAATCACCACAATTGTCCAAAGGTTTTTTTTCTTCTACTTCTCAGCAATAAACCAATGGGTCACTTGCAAAGAAGTTACTACTAACTTTAATTTTCACTGTGTCCAAAGAACCGCATCCCTCTAAGGTTTCCATATATGCCAACAAAATCTGCCATGAATGACAGGAGGGCAGAGTGCCAATGACTCACTCCACTTCTAGAAGAGACTATAAGGGAAGCTTCAGCTATGTTTTATTGTTAACACCTGGTGCGTGTTAGGGCAGAAGCTGGTGAAACCAACAAAGCAGAGTATATTCTGTCAAATGGTTCTGTCTGGTGTTAAAAAGAAAAAAAAAAAAAAAACCCACACAAGCTATCTTTAAAGACAACATTAAAACATAATGGAATTGAAGCTTGATACAAAAAGTAGAGAAATATGTACAGGAATTCACAGCCCAGAAGGGAGACTTAGTAGGAACCAGTGGAAACCTGGTTATTTTACATAGCTAATTTTGAGACAAGTCATATTTAGCACAAAAGCAATTATAGTATAATTAACACTTCCCTCCCACAGGTCTCAAATTTAAAACTCTTCTCGGTCTTCAGTAACACTGTTATTCATTCTTCAAGGGAGCAGAAATGTGTAAGGTGGTCCCAAACATTGACACGAATTTAAGATTTAAAAGCTCTGATGAGGTGATCGAAAACAGCCATGATGGCAGCACTGATAATACCAGAAATGGGGACTGTGACAAACCAAGCCATAAAAATGTTGCGGAAAAGTCGCCAGTCAACAGCTTTCTTGGATCGGAGCCAGCCAACTGATACAACAGAACCCACCTAGGAAAAACAGACAAAAGATAATAACTGAAGTGCAAAAGATATCTCAGCAAAAACACACCTGAAGCTGTTTAAACAAGGAGCCCACATAATTGACAGGATGAACAAAGCTAATTGTTTGCTTTTTTTTTGAGATAGGAACTCATTATGTAGTCTAGGCTGGCCTAGAACTTCCAATCTGTCTGCCTCAGCATCTTAAGGACTGAGATTTTAGGTATGCATCACCACACCCAGCCAAAAGCTGGTTTCCAACAAGTTACAATTACTCATAGGAAGATAAAGGCAATATAGAAATCAATCAAATCTATGCTATTGTACTAAAATTATACAAGAACATATCTTTTCCCCTTCTAAGCTAGAATTTAATGAACTTGCACTGTTTTTAATAATGAAGTTTAGACTTCCTAAAGATCATTCTAGACAGTAGCTCATATAAGGCTTTACAACTGATGGCCTACAGACATCCTAGCAGAGAAAGGAGTTAAATTTTAAAAAAAAAGGAAAAAAAAAAAAAAACTAGGCTCCAGGTTGGTCTAAATTCACATATTTAAAAGCCAGTTTCTTCCTTTTTCCTATAAATCATTGCATGATCATGGAGCAACTTTAAGATTCAGTAAATTTCTCAGAACTACCGTCCTGAGAACTGCACATGTCACCTTCCAACTGTCCAATAGTCCAATAGCCTCACAAACTTGTTAAAACCAGGTGTCAGCCACTACAGTGCTAACAAGAGCCCAGCTAGCCAGAATTAAAGACTTTTAGCACACATACATCTCAACTTCTCTAAATCATAATAGGACTGCAATAACAGGTGACAAAAAGCCCAGTACCCATAAATCAAAAGTTAACTCTACATGAGATAACTTAAATGAGTAAATGAGTAAAACAAGAAATCATTAAATGCTAAGTTTTTATCCTTGTAATTAGTTGTCCTAAACATGTGATCTCTTTAAGATGTCTGCACAAAGAAAGTTTTTTAAAGCCACATATGACCAGAACCATATAAAAGGCACATCACTTACTTTACAGTGTGTTGTACTGATGGGAAGGCCAATGTTTGATGCAATTACCACAGTGAGGGCAGATGCCAGCTCAATACTGAAGCCACTACAGACACAAAAAGATTCTTGTCAAGAATTTAGGGTTTTTTTTGTTAAGCTAACTCTACCTTGAATTACAACTTTGCTTTGTTCTACTCTGTGACAGACTCCATCATTATTTACCTTTATTTATGGTAGCTTCTGGAATTGGTATCAATTTTAAATCAGACCACAGGGCTGTCCTTTCCCCTACTGTCTAATACCTGAGTGTTAAATTCTGTTATTTTATTAGTTTACACTTTTATTTTAACAAATTTGTAAATATCAGACTTGCCTACCAAATAAAAACCTAGTATATAGGTAATTACCTTTGGTATATATCTTTATAAGAAAATTCTGTTAAGAGACCACTGAAGATTAATGTGTGACTGTATGGGCCAGACAAGTTGAAAAGATTCAGACTAGTGTTAGCACCACACAGTATTACATCTCTTGAGAAACAAGCATTACTCAGTGTCAAACCTGCTTCACCTACTCACCTAGAGGGTGTGATTGGTGTCAGATCTTTCCCCATAGTCTGGATAACTCTCCTTCCCCAGACCCACAGCCCAATACAGATGCCAAGACCACCATATAGTAGAAGCCATATTGGTGTTGCCGCTTCAGTAGAAACATCCTGTGTGACATAAACTAGATACAAAGCAACCAGAGGACCAATGGCATTGCTGAAAGACAAAAAAAAAGATAAACAGACAAGCATGACTTTTCAGACAAAAGCACTTCTTGACAAGATTCAATTACTAACTGCTTTTCTTGGTTGTTCGGTCTTGCTTTCAAGTTCATTTAATTAACTAACCTATGAACCCCAGCATACACAACACAACAGAAGAAAATGAAAGCTGCTCTGACACGAGGGGTACCATGCAGTTGGTGCACTGCTTAAAACAGCTCTTAGGTCCACAGTGAATCTTAGTGACCCACAAATTCATCCAACAGGGCAGGCAGTAATTTTAAGTTTTTCTACCTTACATCTCACAATTTACTATCACAGACCTAAGTCCCACTTGGACAAAGGTTTCTCTAGAAACACATGTTTATATTTATCATGTGCAGAAATAAGGCTCAAAACATTCTTGTAATTTCTCTAAGTCAGTAACTGCTATTACTTCATCCTGTCTAGATTATTATTCAATATCCCTCTGGTGGTAGAAACACCACCACAAGCACAAGAAGGGAAGGACCATTTAAAAATAAAACTCAGCAATGCCGAGAACAAAGTAGACTGACCTGACATCATTGCCACCATGGGCAAATGATCCAAAGCAAGCTGTAAGGATCTGCAGGAACTGGAAGAGAAGAGAGACTTCTGGCTTATCCTGGTCATACCACTCTTCAAGAGAGCCAGCACTCCCTTTTCTCTCACCCAGACCCATCTCAGCCTTGACACTCATGTCCATCTCAGATGCCGAGTGAAGCTCAGATACAGCATTGCAGTAACTGGTGTAACTGTCCATCCGAATTCGCTTCTTAGTGTCTGCATTAGGCCAGGTCAGCTTCTCCATTTCTTCTCCCTTCTGTTCACCTTCTTTGGCACGGAATGAATCCAGGGGCATGCCACAAATTGCCATGGTATAGGAAGTGTAGCTATTATTGCGTCTCAAAGGCTTGTCACCAGAATCTCCCATGCAGTCTCCCACTTTGGCCAGATGTAGTTTATGGAGCAGTTCTTTGTACAAGCCAGAATCTTTATGCACAGTGTGATACTGATAGTGACCATTGGAGTTTATCTGGTTGCTAACAGCTTGATTGAACTGAACAAGGTTCCCATTAGGCAACTGCACTGCACCTGGCCAAGACCAAAAAGATAATGCTCAACACAAAGAAAATCAAGTCTAAACAGTAGTCTCCTCACCACTATGGAGAAGAGAACCCAACTCTGGGACTGTCAACTCACCATTCATGGGGCTGTCAATGCTAGTCTCCTCTTTCAGGTCCACGTTGGGAAGCCTCTCTCGCTCTGGAGCTTCCTCAAGATCTCCAAGTTTGAAAGACACTGTCCTCTCCTCCACTGCAGCTCGGAGAGGCAGAATGGCAGACCCTACCTCAGAAGTAGGATTCCTGTTTTCAATATCACCAAGAGACAACTTTGTTTCTTCATGGTCTTCTTTTAAGCTGTTCTTCTTTTCCATTAGGGGGCTTTCAGAAGGACTAGATTTTATTTCTCCTAGGGAAGAAAAGGGAGGAGAACTTAGTATGCTTTTGACATACTCCCCTTGTTCCACATCCCCTATTTCTCCCACCCCAAACTCCATTTTAAAAAAATTAATGAGGGCTGGGAATGTGGCTTAGTGGTAGAGTGCTTGCCTAGCATTCATGAAGCCCTGGGTCCAAATCCTCAGTATCACATAAACAGAAGAAGCCAGAGTGGTAACTGGCTCAAAGTGGTAGAGTATTAGCCTTGAGTGAAATTGCTCAGGGACAGCACCCAGGCTCTGAGTTCAACTCCCATGACTGGCCAAAAAGAAAAAAAATTAATAATACCTGTAAACTTGAGCTAAATTTTAGGTTAGCTTCCTGCTTGCTTTGTTATTTGCTTTCACTTGGGAATAAGCCAGTAATTCAGTGCACAAGCCACTAGGGTTGCAAATTTTAGTAAATATTTTAGGTTGTGGAGGTCTGTTACATTCTTTCTTAGATTTTTTTTCTTTACAGCACCTCACAAAAAAACTGAAGAGCTCAGCTTGGCCCTAATTCTTTTTAAAAATGAAATTTCGATAAACTGGCCTCTACTTCTATGAAACAAAACCTGCCTTGTAGTTCTAAACCTTATAGCCTATCAAGTTAGTACATCTTTAACTATCAAGAGTTCAGGAACCTCAAACTAGATTAACATTAAAGCAAGATTTGTCTTTTCTTCCAGACTGAGGGAGAAATGAGGTCAGGAGTCCTAAAAGCCTCATTTCCCCAGCACAGCTGACTAGCACAGAGCCTGTAGAAGGCTCCTCAGTTGAATCTTCCTAATTCCACTCAGTATGCATCCCACTGCCTCTAGGAATATACTGGACCTTGCTAATTTAGCATTTGTAGGGATGAAAATGACAGATGATGATTCTTTTCAAAGCTCAGTTAGTAAAGGAATGTTAGATCTAGATTTAAGTCAGAATTTTACTAACCAAGATAGTTATTACAATAATAATAGCCTAAGTGACTCAGCTGACATCTAATGATGCTGACTTCCAGAATTTGTGCTACAATTCTAGTACAAATGCAATGTGAATTTGTGTATGTATCCACACTTTACAGTAGATTTGGGATACAATGTGTAAATGTTTACATCTAGAATTCCAGAATTTGTGCTACAATTCTAGTACAAATGCAATGTGAATTTGTATATGTATCTACACTCTACAGTAGATTTGGGATACAATGTGTAAATGTTTACATCTAGAATTATACTAAAGCATAAGCCTTGGCTGTGACTGAATCCAAGTAGTTGGGCAAATGTTTCCTGCATTGAGAGTATTTTGTACCTGCCCTTTATTTGTATTAGGAAATCTGTACCTTAATAAAGATATCTTCATGCTTCTCAACTAATGTACTTCTCTGTACTTACCTGCCAGTGCCAACTGACAAATATTCTTAATGATTAAGATTAGTTAATAATTGGTAGTTAATTAGTAATAATTAGTTAATAATCAAGATTAGCTCATTTTAAGTCCATTTAAAATAATCTGGGCAACAAACCTACTCTCCAATTACTACACTATATATTTTATGGTGTCAGTCTGTCCAGTGGATTTTTATATGTAGCCAAACAAAAAGATTTACATACAATATTGCTAGTTAAACTGTTCTGCTACAAGTTATTACTTACGTTCAATTTTTCTCTTCATCCTGGGACATACAAAGAACCAGACGATAAGGGCACAGACAACTGCACAGCCCACCGAGATGAGGATGGTACCCCACAGAGGAAGTTTGTCAAAGCCCAGCACTAGGAGATAAAATGGTGCATCTTGAAAACCCTAGGGCAACAGCCCCCCTTAGAACATGTAAGTCCACCTGTGGAGATGGAGCACTTCCCCAAGCCAGCCCAATTCAAAGTTATTACACAGAAAGCCATACCAGTTTTGGTCCATTGAAACACTGAAGGGCCCTAAGCGTCTTCATATTCTAGCCCTCTACTTCCCACCCGACTCCTAATTCTAACTGCCACAAATCACTCTTGCATAAACCAACTTACTTGAATGCTTAAAAAGATGCCCTAATAATCACATTTGACATGTTGAAATAATTCTCTGTGAAAAAATTCATTCATTGTATTAGCCTTCAAATATCTCTTTAAAAACATTACCAAACTAAAACAGAAAACTGGAATATTAGCTATAGGAAGACAATAGCTTACAGAGTTAAATAGTTGTGTTTTTTTGGGTAGGGTTCAGTCATGGGGCCTGAACGCTGGGCTTGGGCACTGTCCCTCAGCTCTTCAGCTCAAGGCCAGTGCTCTAACATTTGAGCCATAGCACTACTTCCGGCTTTTTTCTGTTTATATGGTGCTGAGGAATCAAACCCCAGGGTCTCATGTATGCAAGGCAAGCACTCTACCACTAAGCCACCTTCATAGACCCAAATAGTTGTCTTTCACAAACAAAGTTTTGCAAGAGTTTTACTTAACAGGCCATGATCTTTTCAGACTTGCCCACCAATGTCAACAGGCAAGCTTCATCCATGGCTCAAGGATAGGTAATATTAGTTATTATCTGTTTATCATGCTGCATGCCAACAGGCTCTAAGCTACTATAGAAACAGAAGTACAATATGATTTAAGCCTTAAGAGACATTATGACATAGTTTAGACAGCAGCATAGTGACTTGTGATTGCTGTACTCCATCTTGCTCAACAGATTTTTAACAGATAAAGTTCTACTGCTTTCAAAATAATCAACCTTTAAGAAACAAAAACTGAGGTCACTTTAAAACTAAAGTTCTACATGACTATTGGGCTTTTCAATTGTAATTTTACTTTAAATTTTGAGTTAATAGTCACAGAAATTCAAATATACATGAAACATGGATCTGTCATGATTTAAATGTCTGCATTCTATATCAAAAGGTAAAATGAAAGGAGACTGGTTTTCTTGTAAATGATCCATAGAAGACAAAACAAAAATATCTAAGTTCCCATATCCAAAAATTATTTAATATTTTGGTTGCTAATCTTAACTATGAGATTTGCAACTACCACATAAATACTAAGTGCTTAGAATCTCATGGGAGACATTTTAGTTTAGCACAAAAAATTCAATTTATAACAGAATGGAAAGCATTTCCTTGCCTGTGCCATTTGGCAAGGACTGAACTATCCTCCAAGACCAATATTCTCATAAAACTGCCCATTTCTTTACTGATATACCAAGAATGATGACAAGACTAAAAATATTTTGCTAGCTTTGTTTTTTCATCAATGACTTACTACACTTAGTGAGACTTAAGAAGCAAGTCATGACTCGTTAATCAGAAATGAAATCAGGCTAATGGGCCACAAACTAAATTGTTTTTTAAAATTCCTTAAAAGAATATTTGAAAATAGATAAGCTCACTGTCCATGATAAAGATAAACTGCTTTATGACAACCTAACTTTCTATTTATATACACACAGATACACATGTGCACTAGGTAGCAACATGAAATTTTTCCAGTGGGTCACAGACAAAAGTTGAAATACATTAACAGTCAAAAATCATCAAACCACATGAGGCCAAAACTGATCTGTCCTACGTAGTAGGGTGCTAGAGATAACTAATTTCTTATAGCTGCTAAATTAAACATGCAGCACAACTAAATTCATGCCTTGCTTACTCCGAATATGAAATCAAGCAACATCTCAACCTTTACATTCTCAAATTACTTTTCCTCTCAGCTGCATGAATTCTTCTTCCAAGTGCACTCAGGCCAGATGTTAAACATCCCAACTCTTCTCATTCAAGTAGATTCAAGAGGGTAAATTAAGTACTTAGAAAAAGAAGTAGTTCCATTTGAGAGAGAAAAATGGTTCCAGAAACCAGTCCTAAATGACTGATTATTGAAGAACAAATAAAAAAACTAATAACTCTTCAGTAGTGAGGTCCAGCATTTTTTAGCATAGATAGGAAGAAGGGAGGGAGAAGATCATATTATTGATGGATCCTGGTAGATCCTGTGAAGACTAAAGAGGAAAGTTCTGTAGTGATTTAGAATCTGAGCAGGTCTCTTTGGTTGAAAAACTATCTAGGTTAACTCAGTGTACACTAGCCTGCAGCCTTCTGAAATGGGTGCAGGCCAGTCACCTTCTAGAAGATTTCAGCCCTGTAAAGCAAAAAGGGGTAAATTGGGCATTTAATACAAGTTTTGTAAATAACTTTAAATTCACACTTCAATATTTTGACATGTACTTACACGGTGCTCCAGTATACATGATGGAAAAGAGGTTTATTCCAACTGTGCAGGCATAAAAAAATGGCAAAGCTCGCAAACCATTAGGAACTGGGTCTTCCTGTAAAACATTAAGATCAGTATCTTAAAAGCTGTTAAAGCTAACCCTTTGCCTGAGAATCTTGTGATAGGTTTGGAATTTCAGTGCTAACACTGGTTTCTCCATAGAAAGTTCCAAGGCCAACTGGGACTTTCCTATACTTGTTCCTGGAAGTATCTGTTTAAAAACAAAAACAAAAATAAAAAACTAATTTTGCTTTCCACCAAAAACTGGGTTTGGGTTTTGTGGGGTTTTTTTCTTTTGCTATTTTTAATAATGCCAGGCACCGGTGGCTCATGTCTATAATCCTAGCTACTCAGGAGGGCTGAGATCTGAGGATCACAGTTCAAAGCTAGCCCAGGCAGGAAAGTCCATGAGACTCTTTTTTTTTTTTTTGGGGGGGGGGGGGGCCGGTCATGGGGCCTTAACTCTGGGCCTGGGCACTGTCCCTCAGCTCTTCAGCTCAAGACTAGCGCTCTACCACTTGAGCCACAGCGACACTTCTAGCTTTTTTCTTTTTGCTTATGTGGTGCTGAGGAATCGAACCCAGGGCCTCATGCATGCAAGGCAAGCGCTCTACCACTGAGCCACCTTCCCAGCCCCGTCCATGAGACTCTTATCTCCAATAAACCACTAGAAAACCGGAAGTGGTGCTGTGGCTCAAGCAGTAGAGCATTCACCTTGAGCTGAAGAGAACAGAGACAGAGCCTAGGCCCCAGAGTTCAAGGCCCACAACCGACAAAAAAAATAATAAGTGACTAATAACATCCTGAATAATCAGTTTCAGTATCTAATGGCTTAAGGTATGTGAAATTCACATGCAAATCTAAGTATCTGCACGAGGATCTACTAAACAAGAGAAACAACAATGTTAAAATGAAAGGGTAATATTATCAAGAAGCACTGTACTTATTACCTGACTTGGACAATTTTAACTCCTTTATGCAGTTACTCAATAAAAATGAAAAAAACATAATTTTCCTCATTTTATGCCTTCACAGATTAAAAGTGAAAAATGCAAAACATACCTGCAGCTATCACCTAATATCTGAAAAACACTGCATCATGAATACTTCACAAAAGCACGAAGACAAAAAAATCTACTGTGTACTAATAGTTCATCTATTAGTAGAGACTGTTAAGAATTACTCTGGCACAATATTGGAAGGAATAACACAGAACTGGCATTTGTCTTCTAATATGAAATAATCCAAAAATTGAGAATTTAGAGTAAGGGTCTAGTGATAAAGAGGTAAATTTTAACGGGGGGGGGGGGGGGGGGGGGGAGGGAAGGGGGTCAGGAAACATCAGTTAAGCAGACATAAATGTTCACGTAGAAGGCAAATAGGGATCTGAAGACAAGAACCATGGACAAATGCAAAGGCTCTTAGGCAAAAATGTGAAATGTTTCAAGAAACAGTAAAGGGTAGTGCAAAGAAAGAAGAGAAATGTTTCACTTATAATAAACATGTATTTATTCCATAAAAAAGCATCCAAATCAAACACCTAAAAACTATGAACAGGCTGGACACCAGTGGCTCAGACCTGTAATTCTAGCTGTCAGTAGCTTCCTAAGGGAGGCTAAGATCTGAGGATTACAGTTCAAAGCTAGCCTATTAACCATCAAAAGGCCAAAAGTGGAACTGTGGCTCAAGTGGTAGAGCACTAGCCCTCTGTAAAAATAATCAGGGACAGCTCCTAGATCCTGAATTCAAGTCTCAAAACTGCACTCTGATGGGAGGAGGAAGTGGGAGATCAGCACTTTGAGGAGAGGGAGGTGGTGGCTTAAGTTCAATAAAATAGAAGAGTAAGCTTGTAGAGCCATGTGTGAAATAAGAGTGTCATTTCTATCCAGTAGAAATGGGCTCTCATTCAAAACCTCCCTTAATTTTAACTGTCATCCATTATTTAAAAGAATGCTAACAGAAATTCAAAACAAAAATACCCTAGAACTTAGGAACTGTTTTCTCTCACCTTTGAAGCACTGACCAATGCCAGTCATACATTAAGGACAAACAAGTTTAACCTAAGGTGGACAGGCCATCCAGAGTTTTTTTGTTTTGTTTTGTTTTGTTTTTGGGGTTCGGTCGTGGGGCCTGAACTCTGGGCCTGGGTGCTATCCCTCAGCTCTTCAGCTCAAGGCTAGTGCTCTACCACTTGAGTCACAGCACCACTTCCGGGTTTTTTCTTTTTTGCTTATGTGGTGCTGAGGAATCGAACCCAGGACCTCAGGTATGCAAGGCAAGCACTCTACCACTGAGCCAATTTCCCAGCCCGCCATCCAGAGTTTTAAGGTAAGTGTTTAAAGAAACCTAAAGGCTCCACCTTAAGAATAAAACTCATTTAATGGTCTTTTAACATCAGTTCAAGAACTATTTGGTGATACACTATCTATCTACAAGTCAAACTAACTGGTCACTTAAGATGTAAATATTTTTTCTTGTAGCCCAATTAAGTACTCCCAGAAGGAAACAATATTAAAGCAGCTGGGACTAGGAACAGATAAGATGCCATAGGCCTGTAATCCCAGCACTTGGGATTCTGAGGCAGGACTGAGTTTGAAGACAGCCTGAGCTAAATGGAGATAGTCTCAAGTAGTTGGGAAGGGCATAAGAAATGGTACTTGATAGTATACCATAAAGTACAGAATCAATGGTCTAAACAAAGTCAGGAAAGTCTCTCTCTCTCTCTCTCTCTCTCTCTCTCCCTCTCCCTCCTCCCCCCCCTTTGTCAATTGTGGGGCCTGAACTCTTGAGCTCTTCAGCTCAAGGCTAGCGCTCTACCACTTGAGTCACAGCGCCACTTCTGGCTTTTTTCTTTTTGCTTATGTGGTGCTGAGGAATCAAACCCAGGCCTCATGCATGCAAGGCAAGCGCTCTACCACTGAGCCAACTTCCCAGCCCTGTCCCTCATCTCTTTATCTCAAGGGTAGCACTCTACCACTTGAGCCACAGCACCACTTCTGCCTTTTTCTGCTTAGGTGGTGCTGAGGAATCGAACCCAGAGCCTCATGCATGCAAGGCAAGCACTCACCACTGAATCACCTTCCTAGCCAGATCTCTCCTTTTCCACTCCCTCTCCAGTCTCATCCCAGGTACTCCCAAGAGATAAATAGAGCTGGTGATTTTTAGTTATTTATTTATTTTTGTCGGCCATAAGGCTTGAACTCTGGGCCTGGGCGCTGTCCCTCCAGCTCTTCAGCTCAAGGCAATTGCTCTACCACTTGAGCCTCTGGGCCACTTCCAGTTTTCTTGTGGTTAAATGGAGTCTCACGGTCTTTCCTGACTAGGTTGGCTTTGAACTGCAATCCTCAGATCTCAGCTTCCTGAGTAGCTAGGATTACAGGTGTGAGCCACCAGCGCCCAGCAGAGCTAGTGATCTTTATGAAATAATTTTCATCACTATATGATCTGAGTAGATCATAACCTGAAGTCAATTGATAAAGTTAACTACACTGGGTCACCTAGTCATTCTCTGGGAGAACTATTCCGAGCACTTTAGTTAAAGTTGTTAAAATTCAAAGAAGTTAAAAAGTTAAAGAAAACATGTGAATGCCTCATCATTTTAATTATGTGGGATGGGAAAAGGCATCTTCAACCCCCCTTTGGGTATTCCCTTTAGTTTTTGCCCAAAGAAAAAAACAGATACCCTAGATATAGTTTATGTGACTTCCTAACAGGAGGAGGCCAAAAATCTGACTTTCTCTGACTAGAATTTAAATCTTCAGCAGGAAAGCTTTCACTTCATCTACCCACTGTTTAATGCTACAGTCCTTCACAGAAGTCCTTCCTCCATTCTACCTATTAAATTACCAAAACTATTGGAAAAGGCATTCCAAAAATAAAAAATTTGAAAATACATCTTTTAAATTAAAAAAAATTCTAATTTTCAAGACAGAACTTTAAAGAATTAGAATATATCAATAGTAAAATATTCAGATTGTAGCAGTCTAAAGGTTCTGAACACCTAAAAACCCTGCCTTCCATCTTAAAGCACCACCATTTTCCTCTCCAGGGAAGATAAGAGATCAGACACATCAAGCCTCTCTAAAACCAGAACAACCTACTTTCCAATCATCTAAAAAGCCAGTGAACACCTTTTCAAAGTAGACAACCATAACAAGAGCTCCCATTAATTCTTCTGATGTCCTAGTATACAGTAGTACAGGACCTTGACTATTTGGAAGCCCCACGTTTAAACATACTGCCATATACCATGGTTGGTGAGTGGGAAGGAGAGAAGATGCTTGCTGAATGAAGTAGTATCAAACTTAAAAGACTATCAATAAACTGTCTCTTTATCACACTATGCCAAACTATAGATGTTCCAAATGCTAGAAGCTTTATTCTACCAGACTCAGGCTACGGGTAAGTGATTCAATTTAGCAATTGAAGGATCTCTACAGAGAAGAGACATAAATCCTTCCCCAGAGAAGCTTAGAAGTAGATCAGACAAATAGGGTCTGAACACATTCTCACCTCTTGAGACTAAGGCACCTATCTCTTTTTACTCAAATTTCTAAAGTTTAGGGGTATTTTAAAAAAAGAACTCAACAATGCACAGTTAAGAGCCATTCACCTTAGAAAAAAGACAACTTTGTTCCCTGAAAAAAAATGCATTTGTTCTTACTGTAACTCAGTCCAATGCCAATATAATCCCTTGTTGTCTACATCTGTTTTGGAGCACATTAGACTTCCTGATAAAGAAGTGCTAGTGGGTCTCTCAAAAGTGATTTCCAAATAGGAAATTAAATGGATACTTGTATTCTTGATTTTTTTGGTAAGGCAAAAAAAAAAAAAAAATCACCTTTAGTGGCTTTTTTAATCTACTGAGAAACTGGACCCATTATAGGGAATAAGGGCCTCACCCAGAAGCTTATATCCTGGTTATAATTGGCCCTGTAAAAACTCAATTATCTGACAGCTTAGAAAGAGCCATGGGGGAAATTGGGACTTGAGTCTCAAGGTTACAATTCCTAATGTCCTGAATATAGCGGTGGTTTTGGTATAAAAAAAAAGTAATCTACATGCAACTAGGCAAAGCCAACTTAAATAAATTTCCATATTCTATATTCTCAGTCTCTCAACATCCTATTGTTTCCTTCCTGGATGCCTTATATGTGTTTAGAACTTGATTCTTTCACAGAACTCCACAAAATACAAGAGGTGTTCAGAACAAATAACTAACTTTCCAATGCCACATACCAGTCACAATTGTAAGAATGTCAGTCAGTTTGAATTAAGATTGCGTGAGAACTGCATAAAGGGCCCAGTAAGGAAGAAGAAAGGTTACCTTTCGGAGGATGAATGCACGAACAAGGAAGAATAAAATTCCAGACATAATACCAGACAGCAGTGGAGAGACGAACCAAGACATCACTGGAATAGAACACATTAAGAAAAAAGATATCAACTAATGAAATCTAGGAGGCAAATGGCTTTCAAATGTTGGATGCTCTTATTTGCAAAATCCTTAAAACTGTCCATTTGAGTCAGCGCTGGTGGCTCATGCCTGTCTGTAATCCTAGCTACTCAGGAGGCTGAGATCTGAGAATCAAAGTTCAAAGCCAGCCCAGGCAGGAAAGTCCGTGAGACTCTTATCTCCAATAAGACCTACAAAACCAGAAGTGGCTTTGTGGTTCAAGTGGTAGAGCGCTAGTCTTGAGCTGAAGAGGTGAGGGACAGCACCCAGGCCCAGAGTTCAAGCCCCACGACCGACAAAATAAAAAAAAAAAAGAAAAGAAAGAAAAGAAAAAAGCTGTCCATACACATTACCATGGGAGCATATGACAAGAAAAAAAACAAGTCAAGCCATTAAGAGTTAAACATACCAATTTTTATCAGTTCAGACCACTTGACTCCGTTTTGTCTCTTTGCCACAAGGGAGAAACCAATGGTTGCACCGACAATACAATGTGTCCCAGAAATGGGGAGCTTCAAAAACGAAGCCACTAGTTGCCATACCGCAGAACCTGAAACAGTCAAATGTTATTAAGTAAAAATGGACAGACTCTTATTATGTAAGCAGTACAGTCTGAAAGAAATAATCAGATAGGTTCAGCACAAAAACTGTAACCAATAATAAATTAGCTCATCCACCACTAAGAGCACAATGCATAAGAACTTACCAAACATAGCACTGACTGAGCCGGCCATCATCAGCTCTGGGGTAGAGTTGTACATCTTGACATCAATCAAGCCCTTCCGGATGGTTTCACTCACTTTGGCCCCCAGCAAGACTGAGCCCACTGTTTCAAAGATGCTAGCTAGGATGCAGGCTTGTTTCAGGGTCACAACACCTGAGCCCACAGCGGTACCAAACGAATTTGCTACATCATTGGCTCCCACGGAGAATGCCAAAATAAATGCAATGATGAAGCCCAGGATGACCATCCATAGGTAATCAGAAGTAGGCAGGGCCGCGGTTGGTGTCATTCTCTCTAGAATAGTGGTTTTATGCTTTTCTAATGAATGAGAGAATTACTGAACGGCTCTTAAGATGTGTAAACAGAATATGAGGTATCAAAATGCTAATAAATAAGATATAAAATTAAATACTGTAAACTACGGCACAGAAACCGGGCGGAGGAGTCACTGCTATACGATGCTGCAGGGCGTCTGCTGTCTGGGGTTTCTTGGGTTCTGGAGGGTTACAAGCACGGCGCAGAATTCCATGGCGCGTTAGAAAAAGGACATAAGTTCATCCTGAGGAAGCGAGGGAGGAGAAAATAACAATAGCACCGCGTCCTTGAGGGGTCGAAGCCCGCTCTGCCCGCCGCGGCCGGGCCCCCGCCATGGCCTCCGCCCGCCGCCCGAGTCCGCTATCCACCGCTGGAAGCGCCAGGCGGGGCACGTGGCGCCCGGTTACCGCGCCCGGGCCCGCGCGCGCCCGGCCCAGCCCCGATCGCCAGCGCGCGCGCGCGTCCTCGGCGCGAAAACCGAAGCAGGGCCATTCCCGCGCGCGCCGCCCCGGGACCGCCAAAAAGGGCAGCGGCGGGCGGGCGAGGGGGGGTGGGGGGAGGGTGACAGCGGCGTGGACGCGAACAGCCCGGCTGCTTCCGCCGCCTCCGCGTCGGCGTCCGGGCCTGCCCGGCCCCGGGGAGAAGAAAGAGCCTTTACATGGCAGCGCCACCACTCACCAGAGGAAACCGAGGGCTTAGCGGAGACAACGAGGCGAGATCCTGGCGGCGACGCGATGGACGCACGCACCTGCGGCTGGCCAGCAGATGGGCCAGGACAGCGACACCGGGAACGCTTCGCAGGGCTCGCGTCCCACCCAGGAAAGTACAGCTACGGGTACCTCAGCGACTGGAATGAGAAAAAGCGCAACGCGCGCCAGCAGCCATCACTCTGGCGAAGTAAGCGCTGGCCCTTACTTATAGCCGGCGCCACGACCCGCGTGACCTGCCGCGCCTCGCGCCGGCCCGGAACCCCGCCCCCACGATGACGTATCCCTCCCCCTCGGGCAGAATGCGCCGCGCCTTGTGAACCCCACGCTCACGCTCATTGGTCCAGCTGCGCCGAAGGCCACGCCCTCCAGTACCGAGCTAGTCCACGTGGGGCAGGAGAGCCCCTCCCAGCAGCCTCGCCTGGGTTCGCTGGCCCAGTCTGGTCACCTCGGCTGCTGACCGGCGGATGCCGCAGGGGCTCTCATCTGGCGCGCGAAGATCGTCCCACGGCGACACAAAGGCCACGACCAAGGTCACTTCTTGGGTTGCCCTACCCGGCTCCTGGGTTGCGGTGCCTGCCGCTCCCCTGCCGCACTTTGAGCACAGTTAGCCGAGTCGGTGGAGTTCCTTCCCCCTTCCCGTCACGGAACGGGGGAGTGCGTGCCCCGGAGCTCGGGATCCGGGCCCGGCTCGCTGTCGCACCTGACTTGCCCTTGGCATGGATGGGCTCTGTCCCCCGCCCAGCAGGCGGAGGTGGTTCACGTGGTCACTTTTCTCCCGCAGTCATGCACTGGGGTGAAAATTGCAGGGCTGAGAGTTACGAGAACCGGTTTGCGTCCCCGTTGCAACACAGAGCTGTGGGTCATTAAGTTCTCGGCCGCAGACCTGGGTTCTGTGCCTTGGCTGTGGTGCAGCGGGAAGGACAATGCTTCGGATTCATATTCTGACTCACTTGCTGCAGTGTGTCACCTTGAGCAACTCCTAGGTCCCCATGCGTTCTCAAGAATGTATAATACTGCGTGCAGTTGACACTTCTTGCTTTTTGGCCGGAATTACATGAGAAAAAGTGTGAATGTTGACCAAAATTCAGTAAGTCTTCAGGAAATGCTAATTTCCACTTAGCTCTTTGCATGCAAATACCTGCCTTAGGATGCCCAACTGGGTGGAAGAGGATGTTTTCTTTCTATCCTGGAAGTTTTCCTATTTTTTCTGATAAAGATTCCTTCCCCTATGTGCAACACACCTCTGGTGTGTAGTTTGGATACTAATAAGACACCTTTCAGGGTTTTTCCATCACATGGCTTAAGCTTAATCATGCAGTGGAAGATTTAGGTCTTTGTCTCTTGTTAGGGTAGTGGATGAGATTAAAAATATTCCATCCAGAAATACTTACCAGGCTTAGAATGCTTTGGAATCTTCACATTTTTACCATCTCAAGTACAGGGCACGGAGGAGTAGAAACAAAGATACTGTAAATTATTACTATACCAGAGTAATCTATAATGGCTTAAACTTCATCTCAGTGTCCTCTGACTTACCCAGAACATCTAGCACAGTTGTGTTATACAAGACTCTAGGTCCTAAGGTCATGTCTGAAAAAGTTTTATGTCCCAGAGCCACTGATTGGAGTGCAATTCTGGCACCTTCAAAAGTAATACTCTCCCTCCACTTTTATTTCATTTCATGGTTATAAAAACATTGAATAAAAGGACTGATCAGGGAAAGAACCTTAGCACTTTGTAAGGAACTTTTCCCACAGTCTGTTGTTTACAGCTATGTTGTCAGTCTGTAATAGTAGCTCTTAAAGTTGGCAAACACTTACTGGATAGTCAGGGTGAGGCAGTTATGATGAATAATATCTGTCAAGGTGTAAGAACACAGTCCAGGATCCCGAATTGATAAGGTGCTCAGAGACCTGGGCTTGCCAGGGTTAGGGGAAGAGAAGTAGAGCCCTGCCTCTGGAAGGAACCTAGAAGAAATGGGAAAGAAAGAGAGGGTGTGAGGACACACACCTCTGTCTGCTTATACCCAATGGCATTGGTTCTAGCCTTACCTAAATGCTGGGGAAAAAGGTCAGAGAGCCTAATAGTTGTTCAATACTTTTTCAATAGAATCAAGGCATTGCTACACACATGCTCTAGGATCTTGGAGGCCAATTAATGTAGTAGTGAGTGGTTAAACACATCAGACTATCTACTACTCAATAGTTGTGACCAGGGACAAATACATTCTTTGCCTTGGTTTCCTTATCTATAAAGATGGAGAGTCCCTACTTCATAGGGCTTTTGGAAAGACTAAATGAATCAAAATCTGTCAAACTATCCTGAAGAGCCTCTGGCACATCTAAGCACTTACTCAATTGCTAGCTAAAGGCTGACTGCAGAACCCAAGTTTAAAGTGAGTTATGTGTCAGATGACCATACATCAACTTCCTACCCCAGCCATCATGGTCAGTTCTCTCAAACTTCTCCCAATACTAATAGACTAATAGGCTGTGCAGAATCACATTGCTACTATGCAAATCAGGGCAAAGGGGGCAATGTTGTCCGTGATCACTGAACAGACCCACTGGCTGGCCTAAGTGACAACAGTATCTTTGGTGAGTCATGGCCACTAAGCCTGTAGACCCAAGATCCCTCACTCACCCTTACCCTCAGAGGACAAAATAAAACAACATGTCACGAGCTGTAGAGCACCAAACCAGGCTCTGTGAGCCTGGACTTTTTGTAGTTTTTTCCATGTCTCACAAACTCATTGAAGTGCAGTTGAGCTACTGAGAGCTAAGAAATCTGACCTGCAGGAATGCAGACAAAAGGAGAAAACAATAGCATGTATACTAGAGCTCCTAGAGATTTGCAGACAAGGAAATGCATCTGAGGTCACTATTCAATGTGCTTGAAGTAAGCATCCTGGAAAAGTTCTGTTGGGAAGAAGGGACATTCAAATGGGCAGGGGAACATTGTATGCCCTAACCAGGAATGTGGACAGTTCTAGAAGTCCGTCTTAGGACTTGGATGGGAGCAGAAGGAGAGAACATGCAGAGGAGGAAAACTAGGAGCCATCAAGTAAAGGAGACCATCCTGAGGAAAATGAAGAGATATTATCAAGCAATGAGTGCCAGGCACTATTTTAGGTCCTCTGCACATATCTCCTGTGACACTCTCAATTTCTAAGGAGATCCTTTCACTTTATTTTACACATCAAGTAACCAAAGCATGGGAGATTGAAGCCCTAGTTAAATCAATGCTTTTCCCTAGGATGCCAGTAAATCTAGAGCTAAGATGTGAGCCCTAGGTGTTAACTCTTATTTACACTTAAGTCAACACATTTACTTCCTCTTCTTTCTTCCTTATTTTTTTAAAATTAACTGTTGCATTTACAACCTGAATTTTAAGCCTACTCAAGCCTGGAGGGAGGGTGGTTGGAAGAGCATTTCTAGGAGACCTGTCTTCAAATTGGCCCCAGCTTCCCCAGAATAGGAAGAGGCAGGAAGCCAACGTACGTGCTCTCTCCAAAAATAAAGTTGTAGCCTGACCCAATCTTAGAGTTACTGGAAACTCTGTTTTCTTGAATCTTTTCAGAAAAAGAGAAGCAAGCTGGGCACGGGGGTGGCTCATGCCTATAATCCTAGCTACTCCGGAGGCTAAGATCTGAGGATCACAGTTTGAAGCCAGACTAGGCAAGACTATCTCCATTTAACCAACAAAAAGCCAGAAGTAGAACTGTGGCTCAAGTGTAAAGCACTGCCTTGAGCAAAAAAGCTAAGGGATAGGGCTGAGAAGGTGGCTCAGTGGTAGAGCGCTTGCCTTGCATGCATGAGGCCCTGGGTTCAATTCCTCAGCACCACATAAGCAAAAAGAAAAAAGCTGGAAGTGGCACTCTGGCTCAAGTCTTGGTAGAGCGCTAGCCTTGAGCTGAAGAGCTGAGGGACAGCGCCCAGGCCCAGAGTTCAGGCCCCATGACCGGACCAAAAAAAAAAAGCTAAGGGATAGTCCCCAGGTCCTGAATTTAAATCCCAGGACTGGCACCAAAGGTGGCCAGGGAAGGGAGAGAGAAAGAGAAACCTATCTTATAAGGCAAAACCAACCTGTTGTCAACTACAGGAAATAGGTTCAAAGTAATGTTTCAAGGAGGGACCTCATGCCACCTTCAGTTAGTTCTCTTCCTACTTTAAAGGCTATTAGCTCTGTCTCCAGATATTTTCCATAGCCTTAATGTCCATTGAACAAGACTGAGCATCTAGTATCCATGGCTCTACTACTCAGAAGGTTATATAAGAGTTGGGGATAGGGACAGAGTAGGGGTTCTTCTAAGCATCCAGACAGCCAAGCTCTGATGTGCAGATGCACAGGCTGAGGCTGATATCCCACACCAAAAAGGAGCTGGGTTTTGCTTTTGCCTTGCAAACTGGTAATCCACTTCTATTCCAACAGGGAGATAGTCGTACCCACCCTAAACTTGATGTGCCTCCTCCTTGACAGCTCGTTGTCCGGTCTTAGTTTCTTGTTCATGTAGGCTTGATATGGCAGAAGACCTAGACAGCAGGAAGAGGAACACATTTCTTGCCTTAGAGGTTCATGAGTCTCTTGAACCAGCCCCAACCACAGCACAGCATTCTTAAGCGCTTGCTTAAGACCTCTGTGGATTTTTTGTTTTCTCCAAAGCTCAACTTTCTTTCAACAGGAATGAAAGGTATTGCTGAAAACTCAGGAATTATATTTAGTGAAGATCCTGTGGCTGAAGAGGAAGAGGTTCAGCCAAGCCTTGGGATGAAATGGCAGGTACTAAGAAAGAGAGGGGGCAGCAGGATGTGAATCAGCACTCCTCTCCAGGAGGAGAGATGAGACCTCAGTCTCTCTGTGGCTGCCCCTAGCTCTTCAGTTGACAAATAGCCTGCTGTAGATCTAGATCAACAAGCTTGACCATCCCATGCCCTCAAAAACACTCACACTGTTTTTAGTGTCGTACTTAATGCTAGCCATGAACACAACAGTCAAGGAGGCAGAGTCAACTTTCCATACTCCCTCATACCACACCTCTTCCTGACCTGTGCATTTCTGAGCACCAGAGGTGGGGATGGGGAAAGGAGAGGAGGAAAAGAGGGAGGAAAGGCAGGAAGGGAAGGACAAAGTGAGCAAGGAATGGAGAGGAAAAAGATAAAAGCCACAGCATCAGCCTCATGGAAGACAGGTTCTAAGCAAAACCCCATCTCATTTTCATTGGGGG